TATTATTATTTTTTTTTCTCAGCAATCAATGAAAAATTGTTTTTGGGATTCCAACTGGGATTCTCAATTATTTGCACAATCTGTCTGGTGATAAGCTCCAGGTCTTTGGGTTTGGAAGGCCCCATTACCATTACCCTAATCTTTAGCTCTATGCATAGTTTAAAGTCAGGACTGGGCTGCTATGAATCATTTTCAGCTAAACCACAAATTTATCTTGCCACCATTTACAATAAGCAGGGTGCAGGTGGCATATCTATGCTGGTTATATAAAACGATGGGCTTTTTGCATTTATTTACCAAAACTGAGTCTTTGGGTCAGCTTTAGTGTAGTGTTTGACCAAGTTACAATGAAGTGTGTGATCAAGGAACTAAAGGAAAAAGAAGTATATGTTCATGATCAAAAGCTCATAGGACAAGCAAAAATAGCACTGTTAATTTAAGAAAATATACTGGAAATGCTTTCAGAAATCCCAACATTTCTAAAGATTTAGTCGCAGTACAGAATAAGTCCCCCAGGAGCCTGTAAATAACTCGGTTTTAAAGTGCAAAAAGAGTTTGAGACTGATGGAATCAGAGTAGAAGAAAGAAAAGTTGCACAGATAAATTCCAGAGACTTCAGCCGCCAAATTAAAACAGACCCAGGCTGTAAATATGAAACATTTCTACTGAAATGTGTTTGCATGCAGCAGTAATGTTTCCCTTCACTTTCACTTTTAAATTATTTCCAGTAAAATGTAATAGTAATACTGCAGGTCTTGGGTGCTTTAAGCAGTAGTTCTTATTAAAGGCAAAATGCAGCCCCTTCTGCAGATTTTTGCTTCTGCATTCACTAAATTGTACCAATGTCTTAATTGTTCATGCTATTGTGGGAACAAGAAATATTGTTTCTACACCTGGTCCTGTAGTTTTTAATGCATTCTGCTCATCAACTGTGGAAGACGATGTTTCGCTGGCATTACATTTTGATTTGAAGTGTGGTTGTTTTTTTTTTTTTTTTTTTTGACATGAACTAATTTTGATTGACTGAATTTCAATCAGGACTCATCAAATACTAATTACAATATATCCTCATTACAGAATTTCTTCAGTAATATTTAAAAAATGCCTAAGTCATATGTGTAGTCCAAACATGATTGCATGTTGTTTACAGAGAGAAAAAGCAATTTTTTAAACATGGACATTTATGGCTAATTTTCTGTACTCCACATGTAATAGGACAAATACCTTTAAAAAAGATTAGTGGAAACTCAAATTTTGAGTTCCCAGAATAACTCAAAATTTTATATCATGCTTATCAACATGGTATAAAATTTTCTACTCTCTTTATTATCCAGGCTTGCAAGGAACTCAGCAGATCTAAAAGCACTGCATAAATTCAAAATTTAATTAATTATAAAGGTACACAAAATAAAATGCTAGTTTTACATATTTTTTGGACATCTGCATTAGACTTTTAGAATTCAACCATCAAGTTGCGTTTACTTTGAATCTGCGGGACAACTTCAGATATTTTTAGAACCTAATAATTTAATCAAATGTGAGGATAGTAAAGAGAAAAGTTACTTTTTCATCTTCTACCAGAGCGTTATTAACAAAAGCAGAATTTCTTTGAACACACAGGGAATGAGACGTTGCCGTCCTCAACCGACCGTGAAGCGGTTTTCACCGTTATTTGTCAGGTTTAAAATTTGGACCGAGATTTCTGGGCTCAGAAATACAAAAGTGCAGTTTATTGTTACTGTTTTTTCTAGCCTGGACTGATGAAGTCATAAAAAACACGTCCAGTGTTTTGGGGGGTGGCGAGTGGTCAATGATGGTTATTAAGGTGTTCGCTGCCCAGTGAAGAACAAGGAGCCCGGCTGGAAGTCGTGCAGGCCTACCGTATTTTGCATCCCACAGAAACACCATCTGTGCGCCTCAGTGCCAGCAACCCGACCTCAGAGCTCTCCAGGACCTTCGCCTGCAGTCCCGCAGTTCTTTCGCACTACTCGGTACTCTTTAAGATCTGCAGAGGTGCTGGTTGTTATTTCTGGTATGTGGGTAAAATCCCAGACGCACCGGATGCGCGAGACTGCAAACCCAAAGTGGCTCAGCTCTCCAAAACAGAAAGTGGTTTGTTGAGATCTGTGATCGATTTGAGAAAAAAGTGTCGAGCAGCTGCTGTGGAGCAGAAACTGGGCTTCCCAACAACTAGGAAGTGAAAGGAGAAGTTAGATAGAAAAAGGAGATGTGCGGGTGTGAAGCAGCTGCTCTCTCTCTCTCTCTCTCTCTCTCTCTCTCTCTCCGGGCTTTTTAGTCTCTTCAACACATGAATGGCCATCCTGATGGAGACAACAAGCTTTTACCGGCATAGAGCACTATTTGCATACTGACAGCATGGCTCAGGTATTAACCAATTAGGAAGCTCATCACAGGGTTAGGCTAAATTCAACTGACCAATGAGCGTTTCGTCCGCCCGAAAAAGTTCATTTCGAACCATAGAAAATGAAAAGCTAGTTGAAAGTCAGAAATGACTATAGTGAAGTTCACTGGAGCCAGAACGTGGCCATCACAGTGACCAGAAACAAAAAGACGTGCTTCGTAGGGCTGCGCGTCAACGGCACACTTTCAGAACTGTACGGGTCCAGCAGGGGGCAGTAGTTCATGCAAAATTTGACGAAAGGAACGACTGAAAGAAATTATTTTAACAAATTCAGTCCGTAAAAATTACAATTCTCTATATCCTTACTCGTATTATGACTTGGTTTATTTATTTATTTATTTATTTATTTATTTATTTATTTATTTATTTATAGAATTATTTAGGAATCTTCAACATTAAATCATGTGATAAAAGTATTTTTCCTCAACCAAGGCACAGATAAATTTCTAATCTCTCTTTTATTAGTTCATACATCTAAATATCTATATTTAGATGTATGAATATATCCGTCTTTATATTTATGACCTAATTCCAACAGTATGGAATTAATATCTAAATTATATTTTTTAAAGTTATTGTTATTATTAATTTTCAAATAATTCATACATATTTTTATGTTTTTACGCCTTAAGTATTCTCTTTCTGCAACTATAATGTTCAGTCCGAAAATTCAGGATTTAAATGGCAACATGGGATAACTTGTAAATATTT